GAAGGATGTCATGCTTGGTAGGGTGGAGAGTCGATGAAGGAGGGGGAGGCCTTCAATGAGATGGATTGATACGGTGGCTGTGATGATGGGATCAAGTATAGCAGGGATTGTGGGGCTGGCGTGGGATCGGGCAGTGTTTCGTTCTGCTGTGCATGGGGTTGCTATGAGTCGGAGACTCGACGGCACTTAACAACAACAACAACAACAACACTGGCATAGATGACATTGTAACAGGCTTAGACATGGTTCTATTGTGTAATGTCTATTGCTTTGGAGTGAAAGATTTCACTCAAATTCCTGTGTTTCTACACTGTTGAAACAATTTAGTATGGAACTGGAGGCCTGGAACTCTGGTTGTATTTCCTGGAGAATGGAAAAGTCAACTCACAATAGGGCATTCAGTATCTGTGGTCTGGCTTCAATGTCATCTTTTTAATGAAACTCTTTGGAAGGTTATTAGTGATTCAAAAGCCTACAGTACTTTAAACTCTTCCCTTTTGATTGTACTCTTTGTTGTTGTCCTATACCATAAGTGTTACATTCCTGAAGGTTCTAGCCTCAGCTTTATATTCCTCTACCTGTCTACTCTCCTAGACTCAACTACCAATTCTCACTAAACACCTTTCAAATCTCCCTCCCTAAACTCTCACCTGTATTTCAGTCACTATTTCCAAGTGCTTTAAAGGTATTTTTCACATTGATATATTACAATCATCTCCAATTCAACAATGAAAATATTACTTTCTGTTTCTTCTGCCTGGAATATTTTTTCCTTCCCTTTTTTGCCCTGTTAATTCCTATTCCACTTTTAGAGGTCATCTCAATCATTTACTTTTTCAAAGACTTTCCTGACCTCCCTCATTAGGTCAGATTCCCCTAATCTAGGCTCTCCTATCAATATATCATTGCTCTGAGCCTGTCACAGTTGCACTTCCTTATTTATTTGTGTGATAATGTGAGTAATGTTTTTCTCCTCATCTAGATTAAAACTCCATGAGATTAGGCATGATCAATTTTTTTTTTAAATATTTATTGTGTTTACAGACAGAGTAAATTCATTTTCCGTACAGTAGTTTGGGAGCTCTGGTAGCTTAGTGCCTAAGGCACTTGACTGCTAACCGGAAGGCTGGCGGTTCAAAGTCACTAGCCACTCCTCGGAAGGAAGATGGGGCAATTTACTTCCATAGTGATACTGCCTCAAAAACCCAAGGAGGGGCTGCTGTTAGTCGGGTCCGACTTGATGACGTATGACAACACAACACAGCAGTTCATACACATTTTGTTTCATGACACTGACTGCTATTCCCCACAATGTAACAGCTCTCTTCCCACTTCCTCCCTGTAGTTACCACTTCCTTATACTTATACTTCCTTATACTTCCTTTTTTCCTACATATTCCTGCCCCCTGAGCTATCTCCCTGTGCAAATGCTGACCTTCCGTTCTCCCATGATTGATCATTCTAAGGAGTGTACCTACCTGATATAAATGTTCACCCCATATGCCTGTCTGTTGTTTGGCTGGAAGCCACAGGAATTTCAGTTCTAGACCTGAAGGGTAACTAGGGGCCATAGTCTCAGGGCTCTCACTAAGTTCTATCAGATCAGTAAACCTGGTCTTTTTTTTATGATTTTGAGTTTTGTTCCACATTGTTCTCCCACTCTATCCAGGATCTCCTGCACTGATCCCTTTCTGAGTGGCTGACAGTGGTAGCTGGGCACCATCTAGTTCTTCTGGTCTCATAAGTCATATAGACTGAGGTTCCCATGGTCCACTAGTCCCTTGGACTAATTGTTTCAATGAGTCTTTTTCTTCATTTTCCTTTGCTTTGGCTAAGGAGAGACTCATTATTGCATCTAAATGGCTGCTTGCAAGCTTTTAAGACCCCAATTGCTATTCACCAAACTAGGATGTTATCTTTTGATAACAATGTTTTTGTGTAGTATGTTATGCCAATTGAGCTTGCTGTCCCCTGCAACCATGGTCATGAGCCCACAGGTCCAGCAACTCACTCCATCAGTGTGGTTGACTGTGCCTAAGAAGTTATCCTAATTTTGCCCCCCATTAGTTCTAGTTATATTGATATTCTTACAGCATATGCAAATTCAACTGGCTGCCGTCAAGTCGAATCTGACTCATAGTGACCCATCCTTGGGTTTCCAAGGCAGTATCTCTATGGAAGTACATTGCCCAGTCTTCCTTCTGATGAGTGGTTCACAGGTTTGAACTGCCAGCCATCTGGTTAGCAGTCAAATGCCTTAAGGCACTATGCCACCAGAGCTTCCACATACAGATTAGGTACAATGCATTTTTTGCTCAACACTATGTCCTCAATACACAGTAGGCACACAATATATGAATGCTGAATGAATTAATGGATAGATTAATACAAACATTTTCCTCAAACTGGCTTCCTAGATTTCTCATTTACTTGTTATACCACCATTCTTTCATTTATGTTAAAAAAAAGAACTTAAACATTTATTCTTTCTTCTCTTTCTCTTACCCCTATCACTAGACTTGTTTCTCCCCTTTTTTTCTAATTACTCCCACTCTTGCCTAGCCCCTCACCACTGCATTCCCAGAGTAGTATAGCATACATATGCTCTGGTCCTCAACTCTATTTCTGTCCCTCTCTTATCCATCATGGATGTCATCATGTTAGGTTAAGGTTAACACTGAGAAAACTAGCCTATGAAACCTTCTAGTGCAGGAATTATGGATTACTCATGTTTATATTCCTCCAAGGCAGAGGGAAAAAAAAGTACACACTTCTCTAGAATCAGCAGTAGCATAAATTCAGGCTTTTCTCCATGGTTTTTAAGGCTCATTATAACTTAATTTATAGATTAAACTTTTTCTAATTACTCTCTAGCATACATCAAATTTCTTCAAGCCAGGTAGTTTTTCTTCAGGGTTCCCTAAACACCCACACCTGTTCCTACTTCTGGGCTTTTGCTAATGCTGTCTACTATGTCCCTTGTCTGGTGTGGCCTCTCCCTTCTCTCTGCTATCCCACTATTATTCCAGGTACCCTATAGAGTCACACTCCTTAAGAAAAAGTCTTCCCTGCCTACTGTAGTCCATTGACATACTGCCTAAACTCCAATTATGCTTTATTTTGCCACCTAATTTTTTCCTTGTCTTTGGTTTTGTTTGGCCAAATAGATTGTAAGTTTGTTTTTTTTTTCCCAGCCATTTGACATCAAGAACAGTGTCTTAATTCTTTTGGATTTCTCGTAGTACCTAAAGAAAGAGCCAATCACATAACAAGAAATCTAGAAGTACTTTATTTATTTTAGCCATTGTACTGTTCAATACCAGAGTTATAGTCACTAATAAAATATATAGTGAAGAGAGTAGAACTAATCATTAAAAGGAATTTGGAATTATCTGTGGATTTCAATTTTCCTTTCTAGGTCTCTATTTTGGTATTACAGATCTCCTTGACTAATAGTTCACTTAAAAATCATTTCTTTACTTCCTTTGCAATCTGAACAACTGCTATACTTCTCTTAAGTTGAGCAATATTCTAACTTTTTAAAACCCAGAGCTCTTAAACGAGAGCTCTGGTGACGTAGTACCTAAGGCATTTGACTGCTAACCAGAAAGTTGGCAGTTCAAACCCACCAAGCCACTCCTTGGAAGGAAAATTGGGCAATCTACTACCATAGAGATACCACCTCAGAAACCCAAGCAGGGGTTGCTGTGAATAAGGATCAACTCGAAGGCAGTAAGTTTGTTTTTTGGTTTTCACCTTAAACATCTATAATTAATCTCTCTCATCCCCACTTTAATTACAACTCATCTTTTGTTTCCCTATTCATTTATTCAATTTATCTTGCATTCTTTATCTCTGGGAGGTGCTGTGGGTAAGCAGTGGGGTCCTTTTATATTTTCTGGCTCTTTTCCATTCCTTTCATTCTAAATCAGAGTAAGTTCATTGTTCTTATATGGTTTCTAGATTTAATAACAACTTGGTATTTATTACAAAAATGAGGCATTACCTAGGAATGAAACCATTCATTTTTGCGAAGAGCAATCTCAACACTTTTTCCTTCTGCTCCCAGGTCAAATCTCCAATATCTATATTTCCTTGAATGTTTATCCTGAAGAATTTCAAAGAAAAAGTGAAGAAGGAAAATATGGTCAAAGAAGCTTCTGGAAAATGAAAATATGTAAACATGAGAGAAGTCCCATACCAAACTGAATATTATGATTATGGGGTTTGCTATGTAACAGCACCAAAGCAACTTGCGTCCATTAAAAAATCATGAAGTCGAAAAGAATATCAATATGCCAGCCAATTTGAAATGGAATATGCTCACTAAGATGAAAATTTCAAAAATGAAAACATGCAAAAAATATTTGTCTTCATATATTAAGCAAATAAGCAAAATATAAAACTGTAATGTAATATTTCCAAATACACACAAAAATCAGGGAAACATGAATAAAAGAATTGTTTGGTGAGATTTTTATAAGTTTTTTGCTTTTAACACTTCTTTTTGTATTATAATATTTTACTATGAAAAGAGTGACAAAAGATAAATGTAGAAAACAACGTATAACTTCATTACTCTATTTTATCTCCCAAATAAGGCTGCAATTAAGCTTTCAAGATATGTCTTTATCCATACTGTAACTTGCCCAGAGGATTCACAGCCTACTTGCTATTCATAAAATCTGGCTGACATGTACAAAGAGTACTAATGTTGTATAATGCAAGAAATACTTTTGCATATACTCCATTGTGTTATTTTTGTTGAAAAGTTTAGGACTTGCCTCATGTCCACCATTTACTTCCATTGTCCTTCCCCAAATCTGTCTCTTAATCAGATGTCATAAATTTTTATTTTTTAATTTATATTTTTTAATTTTATTGTGATTTGGGTGAAAGTTTACAGAGCAAATTCATCTTCCATACAGCAGTTCACATACACTTTGTCTCATGACATTGACTGACTGTAATCTCCCACAATGCAACAGCTCTCCTCCCACTTCCTCCCTATAGCCACCTCTCCCCTGTGTTTGTCCCTCCCATGCAATCTTGCCCCTCCTTCCACCAAGCTGCATACACAGCCCTTCTTTCTCCTATGATTGATCTCTCCAAGGAGTGTATCTACCTAATGTAAGTGTTCAGCTCATATGTCTATCTTTTGTTTGCTGGAAGCCACAGTAGTAGGTTCAATTCCAGACCTTAAGGGCAGCTAGGGGCCATTGTCTCAGGGGTATCACCAGATTCTATCAGACCAGCAAACCTTGTCCCTCCCCCCCCC